TTTTATGACATAAAAGCTTTCGGAGGCTTGTCATTGCCCACAGGCCAGAATCTAGACACTTATCACGATCTGTTGGGCCGCACTTACTTCTGTGGCCTCAGCTGCTGCTGTGCTCACTCTACTTTTGTCACAGGACCCTTCTTTCTATGCTTGGTATGTGTGCCAAGTTTGTTCCTAATTCCTGACCTTTGTCCTACTTGTTCCTGATGCCTCAAATGCTCTTTTCCTGGATCTTTCCAAGGGTGATTCTTTAACATTCATTTCTCAGCTCCATTAACATTTCTAGACGGCCTTTTCTGACTGTCCCATGTGAAGTAGGCCCTCAGTTACTCTCTAGTTCATTATTTTACTTTGCTGGTTTTGTAACATATTTACTGTAGCTGAACTTTTGTTTCTCTGAGTTATTGGTAAGTTTCAGACTTCTTCAAATATTTGTTTAGTGTCTGCTGGCATCACTGGGCTAGAAAATCAGTCTGTTTTTGGAATTCAGTCTAGTGGGGAGAAAAGCCACCGGAGGATTACAACATTATATATTCTGGAACAATCAGAATGCCCACGGGTGAGGTTGGGTGCAGTGCCTCATGCCTGTCATCCCAACACTTTGGGAAGCTGATTCAGGCGGATCACTTGAGGTCAGGAGTTTGAGACCAGCCTGGCCAATATGGTGAAACTGTGTCTCTACTAAAAATACAAAAATTAGCTGGGCATGGTGGTGGGCGCCTGTAATCCCAGCTACTTCAGAGGCTGAGTCAGGAGAATCACTTGAACTGGGGAAGCGGAGGTTGCAGTGAGCCCAGATGGTGCCACTGCATGCCAGCTTGGGCAACAAAGAATAAAACTCGGCCGGGCACGGTGGCTCAAGCCTGTAATCCCAGCACTTTGGGAGGCTGAGGCGGGTGGATCACAAGGTCAAGAGATTGAGACCATCCTGGTCAACATGGTGAAACCCCGTCTCTACTAAACATACAAAAAATTAGCTGGGTGTGGTGGCGCGTGCCTGTAATCCCAGCTACTCAGGAGGCTGAGGCGGGAGAATTGCCTGAGCCCAGGAGGCGGAGGTTGCAGTGAGCCGAGATCGCGCCATTGCACTCCAGCCTGGGTAACAAGAGCGAAACTCCGTCTCAAAAAAAAAAAAAAAAAGAATAAAACTCTGCCTCAAAAAAAAAGTGCACACAGGTGTTGTGGAAGCTGAGCTAGGAATGCCGACCTTTGCCTGGTATGGGCCAGGTCTTGAGTTGGTGCTGCAGCTGAGCCCTCCCTGAAAGATAATTGTATTATGCAGATAAAACTTAATGGGTTGTGTTCATTCATCATGTATTTAATACACACTATAAGGTTCAGTGTCCTGACCATACTGTAATTTTGTGATTCATTTCTGATATTTAATGAGCACTAGGCACTATGCTAAGGATAGGGATGTAGCAGTGAACAAGAGACACGTCCTGCCATCAGGAATCCTGCATTAGGTTGGAGGGTGAACCACATGCTTAAAGTGTGAGAAGTGATTTGAAAGAAATAATGATACTCATATAAAAGAGGAAAAGGTAGAGGGCAATTTTAAATAAAGTAGGTTAGAGTACGTTCGGATTCACTCTGGGAATGTGTCATTAGAAAAGATATGAAGAACAAAAATGAGCCAGCCATGGAGAGCTAGGGAGACTTTTTGTTTTGTTTTTTGATTTTTTTCTGGATCACACTCTTGCCTGGGCTAGGTTGCGGTGGCATGATCTTGGCTCACTGCAACCTCTGCCTCCTTGATTTAAGCAATTACCCTGCCTCAGCCTCTGGAATAGCTGGGATTACAGGCAAGGAACGTGCCCCCAAGACCTGCTAATTTTTTTTTTTTTTTGTATTTTTGGTAGAGACGGGATTTCACCATGTTGGCCAGGCTGGTCTTGAATTCCTGACCTTGTGATCTGCCCGCCTTGGTCTCCCAAAGTGCTGGGGTTGCAGGCGTAAGCCTCTGTGTCTGGCCACAAACAGGTTTTCTAGGGTTGGAAATTGCGAGCTATGATTTGGACATTCACCTGCAGCTGTCAGGTTGGCGATTGGTTGTGAGTCCGGTGGTCAGTTGACAGGTCAGGGTTGGAGATAAATTTGGAACATCATCAGCACATAAATGCTTTTTAAAGCCACAGGACTGGATATGATTATCTAAGGAGATAGTGAAGTTAAATTAACAGAGGCCTGGAACAAAGCTCTGGGCCATTCTGCACTTGTTGGAAGGGAAAGAGGAGACAGTAAAGGAGACTGAGGTAAATATGATTAATGAGGTAGGAAGGAGGCCACGTATGTAATGGAAGCCAAGACAAGGAACAGTTTCTGCAGCGGATTACACATGTTACCTCATTCTCATTATAGGCTGTGGAGGGTATTTGAGAAAACCAAGGTAAGTGTGTCTAAGTAACTTGCTTAGGAATACTCAGCTTGCGGGGCACAATGGCTTATGCTTGTAAACCCAGTACTTGGGAAGGCCAAGGCAGGAGGATCGCTTGAGCCCAGGAGTTTGAGACCAGCCTGGGTAAGATAGTAAGACAATGTCTCTACCAAAGAAAGAAACAAAGAATACTGAGCTAGGAATCCCAGGCACTTAACTGATTGGCATGTATCTCAAAGATGAGCCCAGCCAGATGCGGTGGCTCACGCCTATAATCCCAGCACTTTGGGAGGCCGAGGCGGGTGGGTCACAAGGTCAAGAGATTGAGACCATCCTGGTCAACATGGTGAAACCCCGTCTCTACTAAAAATATAAAAAATTAGCTGGGCATGGTGGTGCGTGCCTGTAAACCCAGCTACTCGGGAGGCTGAGGCAGGAGAATTGCCTGAACCCAGGAGGTGGAGGTTGCGGTGAGCCGAGATCGCGCCATTGCACTCCAGCCTGGGTAACAAGAGCGAAACTCCGTCTCAAAAAAAAAAAAAAAAAAAAAAAAAAAAAAAAAAAAAAAAATGAGCCCAGTCTTGCTGAGATGTTAAAAGGTTAAGTGAGACCATTATAGTGAGCTGGATTTTGCAACACAGACATTGTTGATCTTTCCTGGGACCAACAGTGGTAAACTGGCAGAAATAAAATCTGGATCTGAGTGAGTTGAACTGTAAAGAGGAGGTGAGGACAAGTAAACAGACATTATAGGTGCATGGAGAACCTTTCTTGCCAAAGGGAAGTGAGATGAGGCCATGCCTATAATCCTAGCACTTTGGGAGGCTGAGGCAGGCAGATCACCTGAGATCAGGAGTTCAGGGCCAGACTGGCCAACATGGTGAAACCCCATCTCTACTAAAAATAGAAAAATTGGCCGGGCATTGTGGCGTGCCTGTAGTCCCAGCTACTCGGGAGGCTGAGGCAGGAGAATCACTTGAACCTAGGTGGCAAAGGTTGCAGTGCACTCTAGCCTGGGTGACAGAGCAAGACTCTGTCTCAAAAAAAAAAAAAAAAAAAAAAAGGAAATGAAGTGAAAGCTCAGTGGGAATGTGGGTCAAGAGACATTTGTGGCTGGGCGCGGTGGCTCAAGCCTGTAATCCCAGCACTTTGGGAGGCCGAGGCGGGTGGATCACGAGGTCGAGAGATCGAGACCATCCCGGTCAACATGGTGAAACCCTGTCTCTACTAAAAATACAAAAAATTAGCTGGGCATGGTGGCGTGTGCCTGTAGTCCCAGCTACTCAGGAGGCTGAGGCAGGAGAATTGCCTGAAACCAGGAGGCGGAGGTTGTGGTGAGCCGAGATCGCGCCATTGCACTCCAGCCTGGGTAACAAGAGCGAAACTCCGTCTCAAAAAAAAAAAAAAAAAAAAAAAAAAAAAAAATGAGCCCAGTCTTGCTGAGATGTTAAAAGGTTAAGTGAGACCAGTATAGTGAGCTGGATTTTGCAACACAGACATTGTTGATCTTTCCTGGGACCAACAGTGGTAAACTGGCAGAAATAAAATCTGGATCTGAGTGAGTTGAACTGTAAAGAGGAGGTGAGGACAAGTAAACAGACATTATAGGTGCATGGAGAACCTTTCTTGCCAAAGGGAAGTGAGATGAGGCCATGCCTATAATCCTAGCACTTTGGGAGGCTGAGGCAGGCAGATCACCTGAGATCAGGAGTTCAGGACCAGACTGGCCAACATGGTGAAACCCCATCTCTACTAAAAATAGAAAAATTGGCCGGGCATTGTGGCGTGCCTGTAGTCCCAGCTACTCGGGAGGCTGAGGCAGGAGAATCACTTGAACCTAGGTGGCAAAGGTTGCAGTGCACTCTAGCCTGGGTGACAGAGCAAGACTCTGTCTCAAAAAAAAAAAAAAAAAAAAAAAAAAAAAAAAATGGAAATGAAGTGAAAGCTCAGTGGGAATGTGGGTCAAGAGACATTTGTGGCTGGGCGCGGTGGCTCAAGCCTGTAATCCCAGCACTTTGGGAGGCCGAGGCGGGTGGATCACGAGGTCGAGAGATTGAGACCATCCCGGTCAACATGGTGAAACCCCATCTCTACTAAAAATACAAAAAATTAGCTGGGCATGGTGGCGTGTGCCTGTAGTCCCAGCTACTCAGGAGGCTGAGGCAGGAGAATTGCCTGAAACCAGGAGGCGGAGGTTGCGGTGAGCTGAGATCGTGCCATTGCACTCCAGCCTGGGTAACAAGAACGAAACTCCGTCTCAAAAAAAAAAAAAAGAGAGACATTTGTTTTTACTTTTTTTTTGTTTTTTTGTTTTTTTTTCCGAGAGGGAGTTTCGCTCTTGTTACCCAGGCTGGAGTGCAATGGCGCGATCTCGGCTCACCGCAACCTCCGCCTCCTGGGTTCAGGCAATTCTCCTGCCTCAGCCTCCTGAGTAGGTGGGATTACAGGCACGCACCACCATGCCCAGCTAATTTTTTGTATTTTTAGTAGAGACGGGGTTTCACTATGTTGACCGGGATGGTCTCGATCTCTTGACCTCGTGATCCACCCACCTCGGCCTCCCAAAGTGCTGGGATTACAGGCTTGAGCCACCGCGCCCGGCTGTTTTTACTTTTTTTTTTAGGTGGGGGGAATCTGAGCTGTTTTTATGTTTATGGAGTTATCCAGCAATAAAGGGGAAGAATGTCATAGGGGAGAGGGAAAGGATAACTGTGCTATCTTTGAAAAAGCAACTGGAGATGGGATCCAGGGCACGGTGGAGAAAGTCAGGGAAGCTTCCATTAAACTGACGCAGAAAAGTGAAAGAGAGAATGGCTTAGTAAACAAGAACAAACTAGCCAAGTAGAAACTGAACTTTTAAAACTTATTTTTATTTCAATAGGTTTTTGGGGAACAGGTGGTGTTTGATGATACAAGTCCTTTAGTGGTGATACTTGAGATTTTGGCGTATTCATTACCTGAGCAGTGTACACTGTGTCCAATGTATAGTCTTCTATCCCTCACCGTCCTCCCACTCTTTTTTTTTTTTTTTTGAGACGGAGTTTCGCTCTTGTTACCCAGGCTGGAGTGAAATGGCGCGATCTCGGCTCACCGCAACCTCCGCCTCCTGGGTTCAGGCAATTCTCCTGCCTCAGCCTCCTCAGTAGCTGGGATTACAGGCATGTGCCACCATGCCCAGCTAATTTTTTTTTTTTTTTTTTTTTTTTTTTTTTTTTTGAGACGGAGTTTCGCTCTTGTTACCCAGGCTGGAGTGCAATGGCGCGATCTCGGCTCACCGCAACCTCCGCCTCCTGGGTTCAGGCAATTCTCCTGCCTCAGCCTCCTGAGCAGCTGGGATTACAGGCACGTGCCGCCATGCCCGGCTAATTTTTTGTATTTTTAGTAGAGACGGGGTTTCACCATGTTGACCAGGATGGTCTCGATCTCTCGACCTCGTGATCCACCCGCCTCGGCCTCCCAAAGTGCTGGGATTACAGGCTTGAGCCACCGCGCCCGGCCCCAGCTAATTTTTTGTATTTTTAGCAGAGACGGGGTTTCACCATGTTGACCAGGATGGTCTCGATCGCTTGACCTCGTGATCCACCTGCCTCGGCCTCCCAAAGTGCTGGGATTACAGGCTTGAGCCACCGCGCCCGGCCACGCTCCTACTTTAAAAAAAAAATTATTATTAATTTTTTGAGACAGGATTCGCTTGTTGCCCAGGCTGGAGTGCAATGGTGCAATCTCAGCTCACTGAAACCTCCGCTTCCCGGGTTCAAGCAATTATCCTGCCTCAGCCTCCCTAGTAGCTGGGATTACAGCCATGAGCCACGAAGCCCAGCTAATGTTTTGTATTTTTAGTAGAGATGGGGTTTCTCTATGTTGGTCAGGCTGGTCTCAAACTCCCGACTCACATGATCCGCCTGCCTCAGCCTCCCAAAGTGCTGGGATTACAGATGTGAGCCACCATGCCCGGCCATGTAGCTCCCATTTATAAGTGAGAACATAGGCTGTTTGGTTTTCCATTCCTGAGTTACTTCACTTAGAATGAAAGTCTCTAATTCCATCCAGGTTGCAGTGAATGCCATTATTTCATTCCTTGTTATGGCTGAGTGGTATTCCATGGTATATACAACTCATTTGCTGTATCAACTTATTGATTGATGGACATTTGAGCTGGTTCCATAGTTTTGCAATTTTGAACTGTGCTGCTATGAAAATGTGTGTGCAAGTGTCTTTTTCACATAATGAATTCTTCCCCCCCCCCCCCGCCCACTTTTGAGACGGAATCTTGCTGTCACCCAGGCTGGAATGCAGTGGTGTCATCTCCATTCACTGCAACCTCCGCCTCCTGGATTCTCCTGCCTCAGCCTCCTGAGTAGCTGGGAACACAGGCATGCACCACCACGCTCGGCTAATTTGGTACTTTCTAAAGTAGAGACAGGGTTTCTCTCCATGCTGGTCAGGCTGGTCTTGAACTCCTAACCTCAAGTGATTCACCTGGTTTGACCTCCCAAAGTGCTGGGATTGCAGGCATGAGCCACCGTGCCTGGACTTCGTATAATGACTTCTTCTCCTCTGGGTAGATACCCAGTAGTGGGATTGTTAGATCAAAGGGCAGTTCTACTTTTAGTTCTTTAAGGAATCTCCAGAAAGGGGACTTTTGGAAGAGATACAATGGGCAAGCATGAGGATATCCAAGGATTGGAAATAAAGTGCAGCTGGCTGGGTTCAGGGACACGTGCCTGTAGTCGCAGATGCTCTGCGGGCTGAGGCAGGAGGATTGCTTGAGTCTAGGAGTTCTGGTTTATTTATTTTTATATGTAAAAATTTTTTTTTTTTTTTTTTTTTTTTTTTTTGAGACAGAGTTTCACTCTCGTTACCCAGGCTGGAGTGCAATGGCGCGATCTCGGCTCACTGCAACCTCCGCCTCCTGGGTTCAGGCAGTTCTCCTTCCTCAGCCTCCTGAGTAGTTGGGATTACAGGCACGCGCCACCATGCCCAGCTAATTTTTTTGTATTTTTAGTAGAGACGGGATTTCACCATGTTGACCAGAATGGTCTCGATCTCTTGACCTCGTGATCCACCCGCCTTGGCCTCCCAAAGTGCTGGGATTACAGGCTTGAGCCACTGCACCCGACCTGTAAAATTTTTTAAAAAGGAAACAAAATAAAGTGCAACTGACCCTGTCAGAATTCAAACTAGAAAATCACCAACCGAGCAGTCTTTTGTCTCTTCTGGTGTGCTGTGGTCTAATTCCCCTGTCTCTGAGTATACATGTTCCATTCTTTTGCTTCTCAGCATACTCATGGCCTTTCTTTTTGTTCTAACCTCTGCTTTTCCGTGGCATTGGCTGGTCAGCTCCAGCCCCGTGTGACTTTTCAATCCGAGTGCCCACCATCATCCACTGACCCAGTCTCTCAATGTGCTAGCTTACGTGAGTACATTCCATTCTTTTTTTTTTTTTTTTTTTTTTGAGACGGAGTTTCGCTCTTGTTACCCAGGCTGGAGTGCAATGGCGCGATCTCAGCTCACTGCAACCTCCGCCTCCTGGGTTCAAGCAATTCTCCTGCCTCAGCCTCCTGAGTAGCTGGGATTACAGGCATGTGCCACCATGCCCAGCTAATTTTTTGTATTTTTAGTAGAGACGGGGTTTCACCATGTATGGTCTCGATCTCTCGACCTCGTGATCCACCCGCCTCGGCCTCCCAAAGTGCTGGGATTACAGGCTTGAGCCACCGCGCCCGGCCGAGTCCATTCCATTCTTGATCCTATCAGCTCTGGCCAGAGGCAAGGGAGTCACCTTGTGAGCACTTAGGGTTGCCCTTTCCAGAGCCCTTTGAGAAAGGTGTGTGTTTGGAGAGGCATGTTTACTACAAGTAGAAATTTTTTTTGGTAAATTTTACTATTTTTAAAATTTATTATTATTTTTAAATGGAGTCTTGCTCTGTCACCCAGGCTGGAGTATAGTGGTGTGATTTTGGCTCACTGCAGCCTCTGCCTCTGCCTCCCAGGTTCAAGTGATTCTCCTGCCTCATGACTCCCAATTAGCCAGGATTACAGGCATGGACCACTATACCCAGCTAATTTTTGTATTTTTAGTAGAGATGGGGTTTTGTCATGTTGGTCAGGCTGGTCTCAAACTTCTGGCCTCAAGTGATCCACCTGCCTCAGCCTACTGAAGTGCTGGGATTATAGGCCTGAGCCACTGCACCTGGCCCATGTAGGAACTTTTTTTTTTTTTTTTTTTTTTTTTTTTGAGACGGAGTTTTGCTCTTGTTACCCAGGCTGGAGTGCAATGGCGCGATCTCGGCTCCCCGCAACCTCTGCCTCCTGGGTTCAAGCAATTCTCCTGCCTCAGCCTCCTGAGTAGCTGGGATTACAGGCACACACCACCATGCCCAGCTAATTTTTTGTATTTTAGTAGAGACGGGGTTTCACCTTGTTGACCAGGATGGTCTCGATCTCTCGACCTCGTGATCCACCCGCCTCGGCCTCCCAAAGTGCTGGGATTACAGGCTTGAGCCACCGCGCCTGGCAGGAACTTTTTTTTTTTTTTTTTTTTTTTTTTTGAGACGGAGTTTCGCTCTTGTTACCCAGGCTGGAGTGCAATGGCGCGATCTCGGCTCACCGCAACCTCCGCCTCCTGGGCTCAGGCAATTCTCCTGCCTCAGCCTCCTGAGTAGCTGAGATTACAGGCACGTGCCACCATGCCCCAGCTAATTTTTTGTATTTTTAGTAGAGACGGGGTTTCACTATGTTGACCAGGATGGTCTCGATCTCTTGACCTCGTGATCCACCCGCCTCGGCCTCCCAAAGTGCTGGGATTACAGGCTTGAGCCACCGCGCCCGGCCAGGAACTTTTTATTCAAAGCTGAATCACACATAATATGCTAGCATCCCCTACGATAAGTAGGTTATATAAGCAGCAGTCCTCATTATGTGTTATGTTGAGAGAGGGGCACTTGTTTTTATGCAGCTAATACCAGGGAGTACACCTGCTGAGCAGATGCACTTGGGCCTTGCCTACCTAGGCATACACATAAGTGCTGGCCTGGGTCGGTAGTAGACTATCACTTGAGTGAAGCTTAGGAGACTGAAAACTAACACAAACCTTCCTTATCTAATGACATAGCTTTAAGAAAGTAGAAATACAGACAGAGGTTAGTATATTACTTTTATTTCAAAGTCTGGAGTAACAAGTTAATCTGATAGCAACATTTAACATACCAGTGATCTCTATTGTGTTAACATGAATCTGACACCAAATGCTTGTAAAACTTCCTGAAGCATTTTAGTATCATTGTATAGCACCATGGAATGGTTCTCCTGTGAATCTGGGATGGTTTGTTTAGCTACTCCTACACATGGACACAGGAAGGGGAGAATCACACACTGGGATCTGTGAGGGCGGGTGGTGGGGGGAAATAGGGGAGGGACAGTGGGGGGTGTGGAGGTGGGGAGAGACAGCATGGGGAGAAATGCCCCAGATATAGGTGAGGGGGAGGAAGGCAGCACATCGCACTGCCGGGTGTGTACCTATGCAGCAATCTTGCATGTTCTTCACATGTACCCCAAAACCTAAATGCAGTTAAAAAAAATGCTAGTCCTGTATTTCTTGCCAAATTCTATCTTAGAAATATGTACAGATAATTTTAACATTTTTCCCAGAAGATTATAATGCTGCTTGACTATAGAACCATGTTTTATAGATTTCAAATTCCTCATAATGCCTTCTGTAAGGTAAGTGATTTCAACAAGTTTGTCAAGCAAGTGAAGCATCAAATAGTTGTTTGTGTGTCAGTCATCTCTCCCTAAAAAGACTGTAAAGGCCTCTTTGGAATAGGGGCTGCATTGAATATTTGTAATGATGACATTTTAAAATCGAATCAGGACTTAGTTTATTTCATTCAGCAAAGTTGTTAACATAAAGTTTCCACATAAAAGTGACTTATTCCATAATATTAACATCAAAAAAAGTTTACCTTAGAATTAAATTCTGTTCTTCCACTGCCTAGGGAAACATTCTCTCTTTGCGATGCCATTTACCATATCTATTCTCATCCAAACACTATAAAAATCAATTTGGGCCTGGGCATGGTGGCTCACACCTGTAATCCCAGCACTCTGAGAGGCCGAGGCTGGCAGATCACCTGAGGTCAGGAGTTTGAGACTAGCCTGGCCAACATGGTGAAACCCCGTCTCTACTAAAAATAAAATTAGCCGGGCATGGTGGTGGGCGCCTGTAAATCCCAGCTACTCAGGAGGCAGAAACAGGAGAATCGCTTGAACCCAGGAGGCAGAGGTTGTAGTTAGCCGAGATCGTGACAGTGCACTTCAGTGTGGGTGACAGCGAGACTCTGTCTCAAAAAAAAAAAAAGTCAATTTGGGAGCTTCCTTGTTAGTGTGACTGTTTATAACTCCTGCTTGACAAATCTTTCCTTTGTCTGTTCTGTGTTATAAATGGAAAGTTTTAGTTATTTGTGTTGAGTCAGGACAAAGCATGTTGATCTGTGAAAAGCTGAATTCTTGGGTCAATTTAAAGTTCAGATATTTGTACCCTTGTTTGTTGTTCTGTTTACGAGATGATTGCCCATTATAACTTTCCATAATTACTTGATAAGGTTCTAAATCTAAATTGTCACTTTTGACTGTCTGCTGTGCTTTCTGACCTCAGAGGATAAAAAACTATTCTTCCTGGAATGTCAAGGCTGTTGTGAGCTGTGATTGTACCACTGCACTCCAGCCTTGGTGACGTAGCAAGACCCTGTCTCAAAACAAAATAAAAAAAATGTATGCTTTGTTCTTTGTCCTGTAAATAGTCTAATTTCACATCAGTTATGTCTCTGAATTGTGTCCTGCGTTGTCAGAATTTACTGTGTGTTTTGTTTTTTTAAACGGAGCTTTGCTCTTTTCTCCCAGGCTATAGTACTATGAACACGTGTGTACAAGTGTCTTTTTCATACAATGATTTTTTTTTTTTTTTTTTTTTTTTTCATTTTTGAGATGGAGCCTTGCTCTGTCACCCAGGCTGGAATGCAGTGGCGTGATCTCAGCTCACTGCAACCTCCGCCGCCTTGGTTCAAGAGATTCTCCTGCCTCAGCCTCCCAAGTGGCTGGGATTACAGGCACCCACCACCACCTCCGGCTAATTTTTGTATTTTTAGTAAAGACGAGATTTTGCCAAGTTGGCCAAGCTGATCTCCAATTCCTGACCTCAAGTGATCCACACACGTCAGCCTTCCAAAGTGCTGGGATTACAGGCATAAGCCACTGCGCCTGATCTGTTGTTGACATTTGTTCCTAAGAAGCGTGGAAAGAACTGAAAAGTAGTAGGGGCAAGATGATTACTCTTTCCTTTAAGAAATAATTTATCTGCTATTACAGATCATATTTATATGAGATGTGTTTGCCTCATATAAGAGACAATTTTTGAAAGTGCATGGGGAGAAACAGCAGGTTTTACTCAAAAACAATCTTAAAGAAATGAGAATATCTGGCCAGGTGCAGTGGCTCACGCCTGTAATACCAGCACTTTAGGAGACAAAGGCAGATGGATTACCTGAGGTTAGAAGTTCGAGACCAGCCTGGCCAACCTGCTGAAACCCCCTCTCTACTAAAAATACAAAAATTAGCTGGGCATAGTGGTGGGCGCCTGTAATCCCAGCTACTCGAGAGGCTGAGGCAGGAGAATTGCTTGAACCCTAGAGGCAGAGGCTGCAGTGAGCTGAGATTGTGCCATTCATTGCACCCCAGCCTGGGTGACAGAGCAAGACCCTATCTCAAAAAAAAAAAAAAAAAAATGCAAATGAGAATATCTTGTTAGATTTTAAGAAAGACTTGAATTTTTTTTTTTTTTTTTCTTCAGACAGAGTTGTGCTCAGTTGCCCAGGCTGGAGTACAGTGGTGCAATCTTGGCTCACTGCAACCTCTGCCTACTGGGTTCAAGCGATTCTCCTGCCACAGCCTCCCAAGTAGCTGAGATTACAGGCATGTGCCACAACACTGGCGTAATTTTTAGTAGAGACTGGGTTTCACGATGTTGGCCAGGTTGGTCTTGAACTCCTGATCTCAGGTGATCTGCCTGCCTCAGCCTTCCAAAGTGCTGGGATTACAGGGGGGAGCCACCACACTTGGCCAAGACTTAGAAATTTTAAGATAGTAAGCTTAGAAGTTAAAACATACATTTCCAGCCAGGCGCCGTGGCTCACGCCTGTAATCCCAGCATTTAGAAGGCCAAGGCAGGTGGATCACCTGAGATTGGGAGTTCGAGACCATCCTGACCAACATGGAGAAACCCCATCTCTACTAAAAATACAAAATTAACAGGCATGGTGGTGCATGCCTGTAATTCCAGCTACTCAGGAGGCTGAGGCAGGAGAATTCCTTGAACCTAGGAGGTGGAGGTTTCACTGAGCCGAGATTGAGTCACTGCACTCCAGCCTGGGCAACAAGAGCAAACTCTGTCTCAAAAAAACAAACAAACAAAAAAACACGCACACACCGTACATTTCCAATGAATAGTTAATCAGAAAAGTTTATTATGAAACAATTATTTTTTTCTAATTTTTAAAAGTGATATATTCTGATTGCAAAAACTTGGAAATGAAAGCATAAAGGTACAGGAAGAAATCACTATAAAACCTTATCACTGAGAAAAATAAAATGATATAGATTAATTTTTTTACATTATAAATATTTATATTACAGGAAATAAGATACGTGGAACGAAGTTATGTATCACAACCCACTTTGAAGGTAAGTAATTTAAATTGTGCTTCAAAATTTCCAGAATTTAAAGGAAATGTCAATAAAAATGTATATACTGATGATCTGGGTATATGTGAAGGTCAGAGCAGGATTATGCAATGGTTAGGAATAGCTAACTATTGAAATATGGAGGTTAATGTCATGTAAAACTAGATTAGTGTCATGTAAAAACATTTCAGTTAGTCTCTGCTCATGTTTGCTGCTTCTCTATCATCTGTTGCAAACAACTTTTCCTCTAGAACTGGACAGTATTCTTCCTTGACTCACAGGGACTCCCATTGTATTGTGTGCGTGTTATAAGCAGACACTGTATAGAAGATCCTAGAAGAGCGGGAGTGGAACAGCTGGAAATTGGACAAGGAGGGCCATTACAGCATCTCCTAGGACCTTCTGAGGAGTCCTCTTTTTGTTTTGTAAGGTTCACTAAAGTGACTTAGTTAAGGTCTTCTATCAAAACCTAGGCAACAATTCTGTTATTAATCTATAAATAGAAGGCTGTGGAAGAGAAGTGTGAGTACTGTCACAGTGCTGTTTTATAGTATTCAAGAGGGCTTTTATGTTCTTTTGCTTAATGTTCATGTTATTGTCTTATTGTTTAAGAAATTATGGCTCTGGGTGGCTCACGCCTGTAATCCTAGCACTTTGGAAGGCCGAGGTGGGTGGATCACCTGATGTCAGGAGTTCGAGAACAGGCCGGCCAACATGGCAAAATTCTGTCTCTATTAAAAATACAAAAATTAGCTGGGCATAGTGGCAGGTACCTGTAATCCCAGCTACTCAGGAGGCTGAGGCAGGAGAATCCCTTGAACCTGGGAGGCAGAGGTTGCAGTGAGCCAAGATCACACCACTGCACTTCAGCCTGGGCGACAGAGCGGGATTCCATCTCAAAAGAAAAAAAAAAAAGTAATTATGGCTCTGGCTGTGTCCTAGTTAAGTGGTATAGCCCCATCTAAGATACAGGTCTTGATTCCTAGCCCAGAGTTCCTTTTAGTAAGGGACCCTTTGGTTGGAGTTGTTTATTATGCAGTTAATAAGAGTAAAGTGGCAGAGCGTGGTGGCTCATACCCGTAATCCCAGCACTTTGGTAAGCCAAGACAGGAGGATTTCTTGAGCCCAGGAGTTCGAGGCTGCAATGAGCTATGATCATGCCACTGCATTCCAGCCTGGGCAACTGAGTAAGACCCTGTCTCAAAACAAAAATACAAAAACAAACCAAGTTAGAGTGACCATTTTTCTTAAGTTACGACTGAGGAATAGAAAGGAAACTTAAGCTTCTGACCTTAAACCTCCTGTGGAGAATTGGGAAGGATCTACATCTGTTTTTTGAGTTGGTTTCTCAAAGGTCTTCCTTAGAGAAAATAGTTGAACAGCTGTAAAGATAATCAATTCAATGGTAGCACTTACTGAATTGGTATTCAACTATTGAGATTATTTTAATTTTTGATGACTACTCATTCATAAGTGTTTTTGGGTATTTATGAATTAGGTTTATCTAATGAAATACGATTTGGGTAAAATACCTATAATTTTTACTATCTTATGTCTTGCCAGGAAGTGGTCATAGTGAGTGCTACAAGAACACCCATTGGATCCTTCTTAGGCAGCCTTTCTTTGCTGCCAGCCACTAAACTCGGTTCCATTGCAATTCAGGGAGCCATTGAAAAGGCAGGTCAGTAGTTGCTTTGCTTTTTAAGGGAGCAAAATTATTCGATGGAAAATATACTTATTTTGCATTAACTATGGATGTAACACTTAGAAATGACTTAATGCGGCCAGGTGCAGTGGCTCATGCCTATAATCCCAGCACTTTGGGAGGCCGAGGCAGGCAGATCATGAGGTCAGGAGTTTGAGATCAGCCTGGCCAACGTAATGAAATCCCATCTCTACTAAAAATACAAAAATTAGCTGGGTGTCCTGTCATCCCAGCTACTTGGAAGGCTGAGGAAGGAGAATCGCTTGAACCTGGGAGGGAGATGTTGCAGTGAGTTGAGATGGTGCCACTGCACTCCAGCCTGGGTGACGACAGAGCAAGACTACGTCTCAAAAAAAAAAAAAAGAAATGACTTAATGCCAATATTTCTGCATTCCCTTGTAAAGAAGGCTTTGTCTTACACGGTTTAGATTGGAACTCAGAACTTACAAGAAACCATTCCTATTGTGTAATGTCACATCTTATTAGGTAATCACTAATTATTAAATTGAATTTAATGCCTTTTTGGCTTTTTTTTTTTTTTTTTTAATAAAGGGATTCCAAAAGAAGAAGTGAAAGAAGCATACATGGGTAATGTTCTACAAGGAGGCACAGGACAAGCCCCTACAAGGCAGGCAGTACTGGGCGCAGGTACTAGGAAGACATTTTTGCTTTTATACTTAAAATATGTAAAATGGGCTGGGTGCAGTGGTTCATGCCTTTAATTGCAGCACTTTGGGAGACTGAGGCAGTTGGATCATGAGGTCAAGAGATTGAGACAATCTTGGCCAATGTGGTGAAACCCTGCTGCTACTAAAAATACAAAAATTAGCTGTGTGTGGTGGCACACACCTGTAATCCCAGCTTCTCAGGAGGCTCAGGAAGGAGAGTCACTTGAACTCAGGAGGTGGAGGTTGCAGCGAGCCGAGATTGCGCCATTGCACTCCAGCCTGGGTGACAGAGCAAGACTCCATCTCAAAAAAAAAAGTGTAAAATGGCAGAATGAAGATTATTTAAGCTTAAATGAAATACTAAATGCATTATGTAATTTGTAGTCACTGACAGAAGAAATGTTGCAGATTATAGTAACATGTTCTGTTAAAGTTCTGCAGTTGTGTTTGAGTATCTGGTTTTCAAAAGTGACTTACATTGGTTTTAGGCTTACCTATTTCTACTCCTTGCACCACCATAAACAAAGTTTGTGCTTCAGGAATGAAAGCCATCATGATGGCCTCTCAGAATCTCATGTGTGGACATCAGGTAAGAAACACCTTTTCCATTTATTAAGCAGAATAATATCCAGGGCTAGACAAAAAATTTAGGCATATTCATGCTTTAGAAATGAAATTCTTTCTCATAAGTTACTATGTTTTCTCATACGTTCATCAATAGTATCTGGATTTGCTAAGTCCATTTGAAAAACAATCAAAATGATAGCCTAGGTTGGGTATCATGCCTGTAATTCAGCACTTTAGAAGGTCGAGGCAGGAGGATCCCAGGAGTTTGAGACCAGCCTAGGCAACAGAGCAAGTGGGACCCTGCTCTTTAAAAAAAAAAAAAAAAAGATAGCCAAAGTGATTGTGTTAAAAAGTAGTTTTTACGCCCAGGCGCAGTGGCTCAGTCCTATTATTCCAGCATTTTGGTAGGCTGAGGCCAGGGCAGATTACTTGAGGCCAGGAATTCAAGACCAGCTTGGCCAACATGGCAAAACCCCATCTCTACTAAAAATGCAAAAATTAGCTGGGTGTGGTGACAGGCACTTGTAATCCCAGATATCCCAGAAGCTGAGGCACAAGAATCACTTGCATGTGGGAGGCAGAGGTTGCAGTCAGCTGAGATTGTGCCACTGCACTCCAGTCTGGGAGACAGAGCAAGACTCTGTCCAAAAAAAAATATATGTATACATATATATATATATATATATATATATATATATATATATATGTATATATATACACACACACACACACATACCTGTAGTTTTTAGCCAAGGCATTGGGGTCTTTCTCTGAGGATGGGTGACTAAGAATTCATAAATATTGTATTTGACAGAATAAGAAGGGTTTTCATTATAAAGGAAAACAAGGTGCTTAACCCTGGGAATCAAATCATTGACTGAGCCCAGGCTTGATGACTAATTTGTACTTTATACAATACCTGGATTCAGTTAAGTTCTACAGGCTTTCTAATTGGCCTTAAGCAAGAGACAGGCTGCTTAGCACATATGTGCTGTCATGTCAGGACGTAAGACTTGGGCACACAGAAGAAGCAGGATTCTATCAGATCTGACCTCTTCATTTCTCAGATGAAGATTATCTTCAGTGTGTCTGAGATAGCCACAAAGTTAGAGGGCTGGGCATCTACCATGTGTCAGTCACTGGAAATAGAGTGGTGAACAGAACATTGAAAAAAATCTCTACGTGTGCAGGTCTCTGTTGGACAAATTCCTAAAAGAAATGCTGAGTCAGAGGATTTGATCATTTTGATATTAGCAATTGCTTTCCATAAAAGCTGTACCAGTTAAACTGTCCAAAAGTTGTGTGACCTGTTTGCCTGCAGCTGCACCAACACTGGGTGGTACCAAACCCTTGTCAAACCAGTGGCTGAAAGATGGTTATGAGATTATTTAGACTTTCAGAACTGCTTGACGCAGAAAGTTTTGTCTTAATTGATTTATTGTGGTTCTCTAGCAAATACTATCTGGACTACATTGAAATACTTTCATTTAATATTACTTGATTCATTTGTGCATAAATACAGTGACTTACAGGCATACTTGGAAGTGCTTTGTTTTGAATATTGATGATCTTGGAAAATGGTCAGTTTTACTTTATAATGAAGAATAATTCATACCTTATTTTCTGTCAGTTTTTATTGCCATCACTGCTAGTAAAAAGTACAAGTGGGTCGGGCGTGGTGGCTCATGCCTGTAATCCAAGCCCTTTGGAGGCCGAGGCGGGTGGATCACCTGAGGTTGGGAGTTCAAGACCAGCCTGACCAACATGGTGAAACCCCGTCTTAAAAAAAAAAAAAAAAGTACAAGTGAATAAAACTTAGATGAGAACTGGTTAAGAATTTCTGCATTTTGGGATAGGCAAAATATTTTGGTTTCTTTGGTGTAGAGCTTGCTTGTCTGTATGCTTGATTAAAGACTGTAAGAAGATATTGACTTTATGTTTATATTAAACTATGTTTTTAACTAGCCCTTATAATGCAAGTGAATTTTCTTGCTGACTTGTAGTAACAGGTTGATTGATTAATATTTATTAAACCTCTATATGCCAGTTGCCAAGGATGTAAAAATATGACAAGGTGTCTGACCTCAAAGGAGCAGTGTCTAGGGGGAAGACTTGACATATAAACATATAATATTAATAAAAGCATTGCATAGTAATTGGGGAACATGAAGGAAGAGAAACTGTTTCAAGAAAAGATAGAAGTAAGTAGTCAAGGCAGACATGAAGTAGTGTTCTGATTAGTTTTAAAGGAAATGTAGGTGTTTTTACACGTTAGTGGATAGGTCAGAAAGTACAGAGGTGGTTGTGTGAATGTGCACAGTGTCTCTGGAGAGCTTTATAACTAGTTCTGTGTGACCTGAAGTATAGGTCAGGCCATGAGACTGAAAAAAGGGAAAGAAGGCATACTGTAAGGGCTTTACATACTGTGCTGAGTTCGCTAAGGCATGAAATGATCAGACTTACATTCTAGCCAAAACGAGTCAGATGAGTGTAGATGATTCTTTGGTGGAAAGGCTGCATGTCAGAAGATCAAGTGGACATTTTTTTCAGCTGTCTAGGAAGAGATGAAGATCTTAGTCAAGGAAGTGGCATTATTACCATGAACTGAGATTACTTCTAATCTTCTAGAACACATTATGTACCTTTTTAGTAGCATGAATGAAATGAAGGGTTGGAAGGTAAGAATTTCAGGTCAGGCACGGTGGCTTACGCCTGTAATCCCAGCACTTTGTGAGGCCGAGGTGGGAGGATAGCTTGAGTCTGGGAGTTTGAGACCAGCCTGGGTGACATAGTGAAACCCTGTCTCTACTAAAAATACTATACAAAAATTAGCTGGGTGTGGTGGTGCATGCCTGTAGACTCAGCTACTCAGGCGGTTGGGATGGGAGGATCACCTGAGCCCAAAAGGTGGAGGTTGCAGCGAGCTGAGATTGGGCCACTGCATTCCAGCCTGGGCAACAGTAGGACCCTGTCTAAAAAAAAAGATAAGCATTTAGAAGATGGTTTTACATGGAAGATTTCTGGTATTCTTATTAATGTCCAGTAATGTACTTCTCTCTCTCTCTCTTTTTTTTTTGAGACGGAATTTCGCTCTTGTTGCCCAGGCTGGAGTGCAATGGCGCGATCTTGGCTCACTGCAACCTCCGCCTCCTGGGTTCTGGCAATTCTCCTGCCTCAGCCTCCTGAGTAGCTGGGATTACAGGCACGCGCCACCATGCCCAGCTAACTTTTCGTATTTTTAGTAGAGACGGGGTTTCATCATGTTGACCAGGATGGTCTCGCTCTCTCTCTTTTTTTAAAGACAGAGTCTTGCTCTCTCACCCAGGCTGGAGTGCAGTGGCATGATCTCAGCTCACAGCAACCTTTGCCTCTCAGGTTCAAGCAGTCCTCTTGCCTTGGACTCCCGAGTAGCTGGGATTACAGGTGCCTCCCACGACGCCCAGCTAATTTTTGTATTTTTATTAGAGGGGGGTTTCAACATGTTGGCCAGGCTGATCCCGAACTTCTGACCTCAAATGATCCACCCCCTCAGCCTCCTAAAGTGCTGGGATTACAGGTGTGAGCCACTGCAGCCAGCCAACTTATCATTACACATTTTATACCATTTCTTTTCATCAGGGTAGCCAACTTATCATTACACATTTTAATACCATTTCTTTTCATCAGGGTGAAGTTGTAACGAGGGTACGTCCTATATTCACTGTGTAACAAATGTTTGATAAATGCATGTAGAATACTTGTTTGGAGGTAGCTATATAAATGGTATCATGGGTTTGTAACTCTGAGTTAACATTAGGTCTTCCTGGTGTTGCTGCACAGGATGTGATGGTGGCAGGTGGGATGGAGAGCATGTCCAATGTTCCATATGTGATGAACAGAGGAGCAACACCCTATGGTGGGGTAAAGCTTGAAGATTTGATTGTAAAAGACGGGCTAACCGATGTCTACAATAAAATTCACATGGTAAATGGGATTTTTAGTGGATAAATGCTATCTAATGTCCAGTACTGTTTGATTTTTCTTACTGTATATACTTTACAAACTGAACTGAAAGATGGGCTCTGTAACTGTTGATTTTAGCCATGTGCTTTAAGAAAATATTTTTGTATGCCTATGGTATCGGCATGACTTGGTCATTAAAGAAATTATCCCACATTTAAATAGGGTATTTTCTGATGCTCAGCTAGCAACTCCTGGGCTAATTCAAGTATCTGAAGATAAGACATGAGTGGGCTGGGCATGGTGGCTCATGCCCCTAATCCCAGCACTCTGGGAGGCTGAGGCGGGCGGATCACCTGAGGTCAGGAGTTGGAGACTAGTTTCGCCAACATGGTGAAACCCTGTCTCTACTAAAAATACAAAAAATTAGCCAGGCATGGTGGTGTGCGCCTTTGATCCCAGCTACTGGGGAGGCTGAGGCAGGAGAATCACTTGAACCTGGGAGGCGGAGGTTGCACCTCAGCATTCCAGCCTGGATAAGAGCAAACCTTTGTCTCAAAAAAAGACATGAGTGGAAAGTTCCCTAGTATAGAAAGAAATGTATTTTAAGAAACTAAATTTAACTACTAACCACAATTTCATAAGTTATGCAGAGTTAAGAGATATTTCCTAAATTATACAAAATTAACTAGCTTTAAAATATTTCAACTTTTTATCAGGGCAACTGTGCTGAGAATACAGCAAAGAAGCTGAATATTGCACGAGATGAACAGGACAGTTATGCTATTAACTCTTACGCCAGAAGTAAAGCAGCATGGGAAGCTGGGAAATTTGCAGATGAAGTTATTCCTGTCACAGTTACAGTAAAAGGTAGAGAGATAATGTTCCAAACAAGATGAATAGATTTTCATGTTGCTGAATGTTTTATGCTTCAGTTTAAAATTAGGACATTGTTATCTTTGTTCACTTCAACTGAGGACACTGCTTATGGTTAATAAAGTGAGGAGTTGCCAGTTCAGAGAGAACATAAATCACCCAACTTAATGTCACATTTCAATCCATTTATAAGATCTCAAAGAATATTATTTTACATTTGAGAACTATATTTATTAAAACTCGTTTTCGGCCGGGCGCGGTGGCTCAAGCCTGTAATCCCAGCACTTTGGGAGGCCGAGGCGGGTGGATCACGAGGTCGAGAGATCGAGACCATCCTGGTCAACATGGTGAAACCCCGTCTCTACTAAAAATACGAAAAATTAGCTGGGCATGGTGGCGCGTGCCTGTAATCCCAGCTACTCAGGAGGCTGAGGCAGGAGAATTGCCTGAACCCAGGAGGCGGAGGTTGCGGTGAGCCGAGATCGCGCCATTGCACTCCAGCCTGGGTAACAAGAGCGAAACTCCGTCTCAAAAAAAAAAAAAAAAAAAAAAGAACTCGTTTTCCTGTCAGTGACAGGCAACATCGTATTTTAAGTTGAATAGCAGTTTACTACAAGGTTACTGGGAGTGCCTCCAAGAACTGAAGGATGAACAGTAGCAACCATTCAGCTCTGGGAATGTCAGGGATTGGAAATGGATATTCAGTACTACTAGGACATGCTCCCTTGGCTTCTCATACCTGCAGGGTTTTGTGATTTATTCTCTCAGCCTTTTTTAAGTTGGTGTCTCCACCTATAGGGTCACATATATAGGGTTCTCAAGGAGGAGAGAGACTTTCTCACCAGTTCCAGCAGAGTAAATCCATAGTATAGACTCATTAACTTGCTTTAGGTTACAATTCTATTCCAGGAATGATTACTGTGCTGTAGATGCTAGAATGTTAGAGCTTAGCCAGTGTAGGCTAGATAGCTACCTCTGGGGTCAGGAGAGTAGGGTCTGTGATCATAGAAGGGAGTTGTGGGAGAAGAGAATGGGATGTGGAGGTGTGTAAGATTTAAATTTTGTGGCTGGGTACAGTGGCTCACACCTGTAATCTCAACACTTTGGGAGGCTGAGGTGAGAGGATCACTTGAGCTCAGGAGTTTGAGATCAGCTTGGGCAAAAAGTGAGACTTGGCCTTCACAAAAAAAAAATAAAAAATTATTGGCTGTGATGGTTCACACCTGTAGTCCCGGCTACGTGGGAGGCTGAGGTGGGAGGATCACTTGGACCTGGAGAGGTTGAAGTAAACTGTGATGATGCCACTGAACTGCAGCCTAAGTGACAGAGGGACACCCTGTCTGAAAAAAAAAAAAAAAAAAAAAAAAAAAAAATTTGTTAAGCTACTTAGTAAGTTTCTCTTTAAGACAGTAACATAATAGAGATTATAGACAGTAGATTTTAGGTTAGTGTTTACTTGGGATGGTTTAAGGGAGGCACAGAATACTGGGCACCATGTACAAGTTGTTTGCTGAATGACTACTTGTTGTTTTGAGTGGTTTTTCTTAAGATATTTTTATTTTAGGTAAACCAGATGTAGTGGTCAAAGAAGATGAAGAATACAAACGTGTTGATTTTAGCAAAGTTCCAAAGCTGAAGACAGTTTTCCAGAAAGAAAATGGTTAGTGTTAAGAAATAAAGAGTGGGTTGGGCGCGGTGGCTCACGCCTATAATCCCAGCACTTTGGGAGGCCGAGGCGGGTGGATCATGAAGTCAAGAGATCAAGACCATCCTGGTCAACATGGTGAAACCCCATCTCTACTAAAATAAAATACAAAAAATTAGCTGGGCATGGTGGCACGTGCCTGTAATCCTAGCTACTCAGGAGGCTGAGGCAGGAGAATTGCCTGAACCCAGGAGGCGGAGGTTGCGGTGAGCCGAGATCGCGCCATTGCACTCCAGCCTGGGTAACAAGAGCAAAACTCCGTCTCAAAAAAAAAAAAAAAAAAGAAAAGAAAAGAAATGAAGCGTAAGTAAAAAATTGAGCCAGTATACCGTATCTAATTTTTAGAATTGCCTAAGGATTTAAAAAAAGTAATTGCAGAAAACATCTAGATGTTATTTAGCATTTTCAATATAGTAGACTCATGCAAAATTAATTGAAAGTATAAAATTGACAGTTTATACCTTCAATATATAAATCCCAGGGAAGAGATGTATAATGTGACTGTAGAATTCAGTTTTTCATATGTTGCAGTCTACGGTAGGGTCTTCAGTGGCATTGAAAAAAATATATTTATTGATATAATATGTATACCATAAATTCTCCTGTTTAAAGTGGTTCAGTAGTTTTTAATATTCATTGATATTTAACTCCAGGTGTTCTAGATGAGAAGAAGTATCTGATTTGAAAAATGCAGTGAGTATCTGCAATATATGGAATGAGGAAAGTTAGAATCTGGACACAAAATTAGTAACTGGTCCCTATCTTAAGAGTTGTAGACTAGCATTTACCCACTGCCATCGTGTGTTTCTGATCTTTGAGAAAATGGTTAGTGAACAGGCATTTTACATTGTGTTGCTGTTAGCTATGTACATGTTTCCTGAGGGCAGGTATTGTCTCCACCCATATTTGTAATTTCTTTAAACATTTAGCAGCCCAGGCAGGAGGTATTTGTTAAATTGAACCAAATGGATTTATTGTGAAGGAATGTTTTGATTTCATGCTCATTTTTGCTTTCAGGCACAGTGACAGCTGCCAATGCCAGTACGCTGAATGATGGAGCAGCTGCTGTGGTTCTGATGACTGTAGATGCAGCCAAGAGGCTCAATGTTAAACCACTAGCAAGAATAGTAGGTAAGGCCTGGCGAGGCAGCTCACACCTGTAGTCCTAACACTTTGAGAGGCTGAGGCAGGAGGACTATTTGAGCAGCAGAGTTCAAAACCAGCCTGGGCAATATAGAAACTTTGTATATACAAACAGTTAAAAAATTAGCTGAGCATGGTGGCATGTGCCTATAGTTCCAGCTACTTGGGAGGCTGAGGCTGGACAATGCCTTGAGCCCAGGAGTTTGAGGTTGCAGTGAGCTGAGATTGTGCCACTGTACTCCAGCCTGGGTGACAGACCCTGTCTTAAAACAAGTTTCTAAACATCTATAAGCTCTTCCTGAAATTGAGTTTCCTTGTTAGATATAGCCAACTCCAATATTATGTATTACTATCTATAGGTTGTACTTTGTGGCAGAATTTAATTGATACATCAATTGAGAGATAAGTTCCTTCAATATTTTCATTATACTTCATATATTAAGCTTTAAAAGCTGGGCACAGTGGCTCATGCCTGTAATCCTAGCATTTTGGGAGGCTGGGCAGAATTGCTTGAGGCCAGGAGTTTGAGACCAGCCTGGGCAACATAATGAGACCCCATCTCTGAAAGAAAAATACTAGCCAGGTGTGGTGGCATGCCTGTAGTCCCAGCTATGTAGGAGGCTAAGGCTGACAATCCTTTGAGCCCAAGATGTCAAAGCTGCAGTACCACTGCACTCTGGCCTAGGCAACAGAGCAAGACCTTGTCTATTTTCTTTTTCTTTTTTAAAGGATTGAGCTTTAAACATTTTTTCCTCTCCTATATAAGTAGAAGAAAATAAAGTACATGCGTTTTCTTAGGCAGCTGTGTAGGAAAAAAGGAATATGGGATTAAGAATGTAGAAATATCAAATTTAGATGTGTGGCTTTTTAATTTTTATTAACTTGGTGGCACTGGGCAAATTCTCAGTGTCCTTAAGCTGATTTTTAGCAGCAAAACTCTGCCTTGCCTTCTTTCTAAGGACTTAAACGGATACTATTTATAAGTTACTTTATAAAAAGCCTTATAACTTCTTTTCTTAGCTTAGATCATGGTTTCTTAACCTCAGCACTGCTGACATTCTGCACTCAATAATTCTTTGTTGTAGGGCTGTTCTATGCACTGCAGATGTTTAGCAGTATCCTTAGCCTCCACTCAGGAGCATCTGAACTCTTCTGGCAACCAAAAATCTCTCTAGGTGGTGCCGATCAGTGTTCCTAGAGACAAATTTCCCCGAACTCCCTCCCGATGAAAATCAGCGTCTTGGATTACTGGACTACCTTATAAAGTGTAGAATCTTCGAAAAGGAAGAAATATATTTATATATATTAAAGGGGTTAGGAAATGTGTATTTAATGGGTTAAACTTGGCTTTTGCATATTCTACACAGCAAAAGAAGATTTTAACAACCCCTCCTTTTTTTTAAACAGCATTTGCTGATGCGGCTGTAGAACCTATTGATTTTCCAATCGCTCCTGCATATGCTGTACCTATGGTGAGAACAAAGTGAGGGATGATACTCCATTATGCCAACTGCTGCTTTGCTTTATACCAAGGTTGCAGTTTTTAGATTTTAAATGTTGTTTATCTGCCAAAGCAGAGAGGTAGTTTGGTTTCAAATCTTCCCATGTCTTCTCCTGAAAAGAGTTAAAGCAACAGGATAAAAAAACAAAAAATAAGAACAGCCCACAAACTACATCTTCAGTAGAACAGGTAAAACTACGTATCTGAATTACTTATTAAGTATGATACTGAACTCAAACACCTGGTGTGGTAACCACAAAGGGGAGGGAGGTTGGGCAAAGAAAAGGAAATGCTGGCTGATGGTTCCAGATCTAGGATGGAAGCAACTGGTCACTCCCCAGAAGGCAAGGCCTCCACTCTGAAAGGGAACAGCTGGCAGCAGGTCTTCAGAGCAAATAGTACAACTAGAGACAGAAAACGTACATATTCCACAGTCAGTAAGTGCTATCAAAGAAGAAATAACCAAGTCTCAGTGGGAAGTTGCTAAGCAGTCACAGGAAAAGAAAGGTTTAGGGGTATAGGTTTCTTAGAAGTCTTAAGGAAAGTGAATGCATCATGTGTAATAAACAGTTCTGGATTCTGAAGGTAGAGTCATTCTGAGAGCTATAGATGAGGCTATATATGGGTACCGTATTTTTTGTTGTTGGAACAGAGGAAGCTATTTGAACTGTCCAGGATACAAAGCTACCTTAGCCCACTAGTAGAAGAGAGGAAGGTGGAGGAAGAGTTCCATGTTAATTTTGTTATTGCTCACAACAATCAAATTTCTTCTGTAAAGAAAAAGGACACTCACTAGCAATGTTTTAAGAGGTATTATAGGAATAATCACTAGCACAAAAACGCCTTCCTGTATAGCTGAGGAACTACTAAAACAAAATAGATCCTATAAGATTTTAAATAAATGACTTAACGATGAAACTGCAACAAATTTAAGTATCTGTGCCCCAGATAACCCTACAGTAACTTTTATTAAGCAGAAACTGCAGGGGATGCATTAATATTATGAATAGTAGAAACTAATAAACTTCTTTCATAATAGTCAAGAATGTAGACCTGGCTGGGTGCAGTGGCTCTTGCCTGTAATCCCAGCACTTTGGGAGTCCGAGGCAGGCTGAGCACTTGAGCCTGGGAGGTCAAGGCTGCAGTGAGCCCTGATTGTGCCATTCCACTTCAGCCTGGGTGACACAACAAGATCCTGTCTCCAAACAACAACAAAAATACAGAACTAAGCAACACAGAATCAGTAAAGCAGAGTTTAAGAATATGTAAAGCATTATGTACCCCTAAATAGAAAATGTACCTTTCCAAGTATCTGTGGAAAGAAAGTCAAATTTTCAGTCCCCTATCTTATGTCAAAATAGACAGAAAACAATGCAAACAAAATCCTTTGGTTATAATGGAATAGGATAAGCAACTAAAAATCTGAAAATAGGCTGGGCACGGTGGCTCATGTCTGTAATCCCAGCACTTTGGGAGGACAGGGCAGGCAGATCACCTAAGGTCAGGAGTTCAAGACCAGCCCAGCCAACATGGTGAAACCCTATCTCTACTAAAAATACAAAAATTAGCCAGGTATAGTGGTGCATGTCTGCAATCCCAGCTACTCAGGAGGCTGAGACAGAATTGCTTGAACCCAGGAGGCGGAGGTGTACTCCAACCTGGGAGACAGAGTGAGACCCTGTCTAAAAAAATAAATCTGAAAACTGAGATCCTTCCATCTGAAACCAAGAACTTCCATATTTAAATAACTAACATCAAATTGTAGAATTTCAAAGAAATGATGACAGTGATTGCTACTTACTTGAACATCATCTGTCTTTTAAAAAATTTTAGGTTCTTAAAGATGCAGGATTGAAAAAAGAAGATATTGCAATGTGGGAAGTAAATGAAGCTTTTAGTCTTGTTGTACTAGCAAACATTAAAATGTTGGAGATTGATCCCCAAAAAGTGAATATCAATGGAGGAGCTGTTTCTCTGGGACATCCAATTGGGTAGGTAAAATAGCTGCCTTTGTGTTTCTAGCTAAACTTAAAACTGCTTCATGGTAATTCCTATTCTTAAGTTTTCCTTCCTACCCATCTTTCACAAGGCAAAAACCATTTCTGATAGATGGTATCCAGTACTGAACAGAGATGTGTCACATCTGTTGTTTGAAACCCAATAATGTTTAATGCTGAAGGAGAAAAAGTGTACATTTAGCGCCCCCCACCCCTTCCTCCTTCCTATTTATTTCATTAGCTTTAGGGTACAGTGAGTTTTGGTTACCTGGATGAATTTACAGTGGTGGAGGCTGATTTCAGTGCAGCTGTCACCCAAGTAGTGAAACAAGTCCTTCAAGTTTTAGAATAGTAGTAGTTAATTCAGCAAGAAGTAGTGTCTAGGAAGATTTTCAAGAAGTTAAATTAGAATAGAAACATTTTTGATTTTCTGTACTTGATTAAAGAAATAAATGTTTTAAATTTTGTTTTCCTTTAGGTGTATACTATATCCAGCATTTCTCCCCATGTTATCCCTCCCTTACCCATCCCCAGCTGCCCCCAGTGTGTGATGCTCCTCTCCTGAGTCCATGGGTTCTCATTGTTCAACACCCACCTAAATGCTTTCTTAATTTTAGGATGTCTGGAGCCAGGATTGTCGTTCATTTGGCTCATGCCTTGAAGAAAGGAGAATACGGTCTTGCCAGTATTTGCAACGGAGGAGGAGGTGCTTCTGCTATGCTAATTCAGAAACTGTAGACAACCTTGGCTGAGACAACTCTATGTGACCAGAAGGACTGCCATAATCAGTGTGACTACTTTGAGTCAGCTTATATTCAAACTGTTTCATTTTTTATTATTTTCTGTTAACTTTAAAATGAAATCATAAAACCTTTTGAAATTAAAATTTTTTCTTCTGCTTTTTTGGGTAATCTTTAAATGTTTGATATATTTTTGCATTCTGAATCTCTCTCTCTCTCTCTATATATATATTTTTTTGAGACGGAGTTTTGCTCTTGTTAACCAGGCTGGAGTGCAATGGCGCGATCTCGGCTCACCGCAACCTCCGCCTTCCGGGTTCAAGCAATTCTCCTGCCTCAGCCTCCTGAGTAGCTGGGATTACAGGCACGTGCCACCATGCCCAGCTAATTTTTTGTATTTTTAGTAGAGACGGGGTTTCACCATGTTGACCGGGATGGTCTCGATCTCTTGACCTCGTGATCCACCCGCCTCGGCCTCCCAAAGTGCTGGGATTACAGGCTTGAGCCACCGCGCCCGGCCTGAATCTATATTTTTATAGAAATATAGTACAAATACCAGTGTGTAATAGTGACTAACATAAGTTTCTAGAAACTTCATGTGTGAGAAATTTATATTTTTGAGGATTGTTAAAATTCAAGTGAATGCTCTCTGTAGGTAATTTACTTCTCTTTACAGTAAGAGCTGGCTATGCTGGACAAACTAGCAGTGCTTCATATAATCACTCAAGAAACCAGTGTGCAGTAGTACTAGAAACGAGAGAAGCCCATGTGCTTGGGGTCTAGAGTGAGGGCAATTTCTTACGAGCTCCAAATTCAGGGGTGGGGGAGGTCAAGCAGAAAACCCTGCAGTTTGGGCTCTGAATTACTACAGCAGCTTAGAGCACGGGAAAGGACGTAGAAACTGATAGGCCAAATGGATTTATAAAGGGAGCAGCTCAACACTCCCACTATACCACAAAGCCTGTTCTTAAGCAGGGCAGACTGTAGCACAAGTATCCTGCATTGCATTTATTTGGGAAAACATTTAGAGCGCTCCAGGTAGGGTCTACGTACACTACCCTCAGTTGCAGCTCTAAAAAGAGAAAACTCACCCTAGGAAAGGGAGGGGCAGTAAAGGTCATCGTGTACATGTTACCTGTTGGCCAATGTACTGTAGATCCTTTGAAGGAACAAAAACACAGTATATGGGAAAAATCAATTGCTCGGGCTTTTAAGATTCAGAGGAAGAGTATTTTCAAAAACATCTGTAATCATCACCAACTTTTGAGGCTCATCATGTGTTAGCACAAAGCTTTACATGTATTAACTCATTTAATCATCACAAAAATTTCTAAGAGTAGGTAATAATATCCCTAATTTATAAATAAGGAAATTGAGTACCTAAATAAATTCCAAGGGCAAAAAGCTGGTAAGTAGCTGGCTAAGGTTCAACTCCAAGTCAGTGTAGGTCCAGAGTCCACATTCTTAACTTACTATCCTTCAGTTAGTTGCCTTTCAATAATGATCTGCCCCAACTTAGGAGAACTTATAACCGAACCAGGAGCTGGGTAAGATATAGGAGAAAAGGAAACCTAAAACGTAAGAATACTTCAGTGAAGATAAGCACAAACTAACATTGCATCCAAAGGTCATTGATCTGTAAAACATCTGAGAAGTGCTCTGAAGATTCTGGGAAAACATGGAGAGAAAATACAGAACCACCAAGTAAGTACGGTTTTCTTTGGTTTGTTTTAAAGAGATAAGGTAATTGGTCTGTCACCTAGGCTGGAGTACAGGGGCATGTCCATAGCTCACTGTAACCCTGAACTCCTGGGTGCTCAAGTGATCCTCCTGCCTCAGCCTCCTGGGTAGTTAGGATTATGGGCAGATGCTACCATGCCCAGGTTAAATGGTGTTTCTCAAAAAAGAAATGGTACTCTGGGCCAGCTGTAGTGGTTCATGTTTGTAATCCCAGCACTTTGGGAGGCTGAAGCAGGCAGATCACAAGGTCAGGAGATTGAGACCATCCTGGCTAACAAGGCAAAACCCCATCCCTACTAAAAATACAAGAAATCAGCCAGGCATGGTGGCAGGTGCCGGCAGTCCCAGCTACTCAGGAGGCAGAGGTTGCAGCGAGCTGAGATCATGCCACTGCACTCTAGCCTGGGAGACAGAGCAAAACATCTCAAACAACAACAAAAAACCCCCAACCAACTCTGAAGCAATAATCTAACAGATAATAGAAAAACTCAGGTTTTTAAGTCATAAAGGAAAAGATTCTAAAGGGCGTATTTTTCTTTTTTTTGAGACAGAGTCTTGCTCTGTAACTCAGGCTGGCACAATCTTGGCTTACCACAACCTCTGCCTCCCAGGTTCAAGTGATTCTTGTGCCTTAGCCTCCTGAGTATACAGGCATGTGCCACCACCCCAGCTAATTTTTATATTTTCACTAGAGACAAGAGTTTTGCCATGTAGGCCAGGCTGGTCTCGAACTCCTGATCTCAGGTGATCCTTCTGCCTCAGCCTCCCAAAGTGCCAGGATTCCAGGTGTGAGCCACTATGCCCGGCCCTAAAAAGCATATTTTATTGGCAAAATTAATAGCAAATCATACTAAGACATTCTGGAGAAAATGTATTAAAATTCCTCTAACACCTAAAAATAGGTAACTGGAGTTTCTATTACATTCAGTCCCCAAAAAACAAATGACCAATATCTACCTATTTTTAATGGAACAAAATAAGATACTAGAAAGTGTGTCTCAAACACAGAAGAGTTTAGCAAATAAAGTCCTCTGATGTTTCTTCCTAAAATCACAAAGCTAAGGAAGCCTATGGAGTGAAGAATTAAGAATTCAGTTATGTGAAAGTTTTACATTTCTAAAATGACTGTTTAAGGACTGGCTGGGGAAGGAGTAAAGGTAATGGTTCAAGAAAATAAACCTCAAAATACATTTATTAGACATATTTTGAGACGGCTGTCAGAGGGCCAGGAAACAGAAGTGGCCCTACAAAGCTGTCTTTTGTGGAAGACATTTGCATCTGTTTTTTTTTCTTTTTTTTGAGACGGAGTTTTGCTCTTGTTGCCCAGGCTGGAGTGCAATGGCGCAATCTTGGCTCACTGCAACCTCCACCTCCTGGGTTCAGGCGATTCTCCTGCCTCAGCCTCCCGAGTAGCTGGGATTACAGGCATGCACCACCACACCCGGCTAATAGAAATTTGCATCCATGGAGAATCTCCATTAATGCAGCCAGGACTTCCCTTTTCTGGAATCTAGAAAAGGTTAAATGAGAGCCTGTCTGACTTTAAAGGTCTTAAACATTTTTTTTATCATCCATCCTCTCAGAAAGCTACTTACTATCTGTGAGGTTTCAGCTACATAATGAGACCACCTTTCCCAGCCAGGTGTCCTCTCCCTCTCCATAAACTGTCTTGCCACTAAAACCTGATTTACCAAAATAACATGTTTTTGGCCATGCTCAGAGCTCACATTCCTTCTGTAACCTGAAGAAGGTATGAAGTTTCTACACTCAGGTGCGGTGGCTCACGCCTATAATTCCAGCACTTTGGGAGGCCAAACGGATCACTTGAGGTCAGGAGTTGGAGAGCAGTCTGGTCACATGATGAAACCCTGTCTGTACTAAAAGTGCAAAAATTAGCCAGGTGTGGTAGGACACACCTGCAGTCCCAGCTACTCAGGAGGCTGAGGTAGGAATCGCTTCAACAGAGGTTGCAGTGAGCTGAGACCATGCCATTGCACTCCCGCCTGGGCGACAAAGAGTCCCTCAAAAAACAAAGTTTCTACACACCACTGGGGGTGGGGTCAGATCTTCATCTGAAGGCCCCCATGTATACACATTAAATAAACATACATTCCTTTTCTCCAATTAATCTGCCTTTTGCAAACTGATTTTCCAGGGGAACTTCAAGGTTACAGTAAACTATGATCCTGCCACTGTACTCCTGCCTATGGGACAGAGGGAGACCTTGTCTCTTAACATAAATACTATTTACTGGGCCGGGCGCGGTGGCTCAAGCCTGTAATCCCAGCACTTTGGGAGGCCGAGGCGGGTGGATCACGAGGTCAAGAGATCGAGACCATCCTGGTCAACATGGTGAAACCCCGTCTCTACTAAAAATACAAAAAATTAGCTGGGCATGGCGGTGCGTGCCTGTAATCCCAGCTACTCAGGAGGCTGAGGCAGGAGAATTGCCTAAACCCAGGAGGCGGAGGTTGCGGTGAGCCGAGATCGCGCCATTGCACTCCAGCCTGGGTAACAAGAGCGAAACTCCGTCTCAAAAAAAAAAAAAAAATACTATTTACTGGCTGGTTCTCTATTTTTTCTCTCTTCCTTTCCATTTTTTCTAAGAATTGTCAGAGCACCTTTCAAATGTTTTCCTGATCACTGACCTTTGGATGCACTACTTACCTTCAGTGAAGCATTCTAAAATGCTTTGAGTTTGCTTTTTTTTTTGCATTTTTAACCAGCTCCTGGTTCCCCTTGGCCTTTACATGGTGAAATATCGGTAACATGTATATATATCTGCTAAATAAAGGCAAACACCAGAAGAACAAGTTCTGAGATTGCCCTCACAGGGCTTACAAGAATTGCATGCTGGGTCCTGGACAGAAATAGAGTTATAACTAGGCATTAAACAGGCTGCACCTTGGCCTACTTCTTAAATCCTCGGGGAGACAGATTTGAAGTTTTCTCCAGTCTCCTCATTCAGTGGCCCTGCAATTAAACCTTTTTGCTGCAACCCAGGGTCTTGGCATACTGACTTGTCACACGTAATGTGTAATGGACCTATTAAGGTTATAGTTCTGTATCTTAAGTTACTATAGAAGACAAAAGCTTAAAACTCCAATTACAAAGTAAAATGAAGCTGGGAGCAGTGGCTCACACCTGTAATCCCAGCACTCTGGGAGGCTGAGGCAGGCACATCACCTAAGGTATAGAGTTTGAGAACAGCCTGACCAACATGAAGAAACCCTTTCTCTACTAAAAATACAAAATTAGGAACAATGGTGCATGCCTATAATCCCAGGTACTGGGGAGGCTGAGGTGGGAGAATCCTATTAACCCAGGAGGCGGAGGTTGCGGTGAGTGGAGATCGTGCCATTGCACTCCAGCCTGGGCAACAAGAACGAAACTCCCTCCAGCTTGGGCAACAAGAACAAAACTCTGTCTCGAAAA